TTTCATTTAAGAAATTGTGTGTGCCATAATAGAAGAACAACTTCTGAAATGGATTGATGGATCACTTGATACACACCCTTAGTCTGTTTATACAGTTGAAATATTAAATTTGGCTGACTCTGTCCACCCTGGCCATCAGTACCCTATCCTTGGTACTTGAAGATTCTGGGACAGACCTAGGAGTGTTCAACAACATAAGGCGAGAATACTTCCCCCTGGCAGCCTCTACTCCTTTCAGCAGCTGAAACAGTGAGCTCTGCTGAAACAAAGGTGTTCTCAGGCCATAGCAGGAGTCATTGTTGCCCACTGATGCTGTCAAAAATGAGCAGCAGACCTGTAAAAGTGGGAAAAAAGCAAGAAAAACAGCCTGAATAATAACCTAGGAGATTTCTGTACATGGTATGGCATTTTTTAAGCTAAATGCGTATTGATATATGAATTTTGTATTTATGTGTGGGCTTTGGTTTTAGGACCTGATGTACAGAATCACTTAAATAAAGTGTAAGATAAATACTGGATCTCATGCATCGGGTTTTTTTAATGCTTGTGTTATTTTACTTCCTCTTCTTTGTGTGAAATAAGTATACGAGTCTTTTTTCATGCATTAGAGTCATATCTGCTTGTTCTGCTGGAGGTAATATTTTAGATTTGTCAATCTCTCTGTTCAAAGTTTCATAATCAAGAATAAATTTATCTCCAAACTATAACTTGGTAAGTAGGATATCTGACAGTGGTTGTAGTTTTTAAAATACATTTTCAACACTTTTCACAATGGTTGCTTTCACTTCCAATTTGTAGTAAATTTATCACTTTCATGCTATGATAAGGTGAACCAATATAAAAAAAAGATTTTGAGATTTGTGTTTCTCTAATATTTTGTTCAGCAGACTTAGTAACGAGGCAAAATGTGAGTAAAATTAAGTGCCAAGCCTGCCAGTTTACAAAGACTTGAAATGGAATGAGTTTTATATGTAGGTTAATCGAGTAGCTAGGCACTTCCTCCAAGTGTGGACCCGTTTGGTTTTGCTGTTGTTTCTAAACAAATGTAATGTGCATTGGTTCTTCTGTTGGAATAGACTGAAAAGAGTACTTAGCAGTGGGCCAGGGTTCAAACACTAAAGGAAATCCTCTGCTTTTTGTCAGAGACCTTGTTGGTGTAGTAAACTGGACTAGATACTCTGCTTTTTCTTGGAACTGAGTTTTATCTTTGCTCTTCTCATAAGAGAAGCACAAGAGACGTCTACAGATGGATTATGAATATTAAATTTATTACAGTTACAGTTTACAGTACAAGGCACATACTGATAACTTACAATCAGCTTGCAACACTTGCAACTAAACAGCCGCATAAATTAATACAGGTGCATCATGTACAAGTTGGAGGGAATACTTAGTTCTGTACAGCTAAAACTCCAGTTTAATTCTCTTTGCTTAAAAGGCAAACATGTTCCTAATTTACCAGTTTCATAAGTTCCTTTTCACTGTTCAGAATAGAAGGTAGGATATACTCGTGTGATAGATAAGTGGAAGGTGAGCTGAAGAGAAGGAATTTGTTTGTTTGCCTCAAAACACTTTTAATTGGAGTGCAGCCCATTTGGTATCAATATAACTAGTTTTCGTACAAAAACAATGTTTAATGTATGGCTAATTGTTGAGCTACCTGATAAATATTGATTACTCTAAATGTTTTCAGGTGGATATGTAAAAGGAAGGAAAAAAAAAAGAACAGTAAAAATAAATGAAATAAATTTCTCAATATTTCAGCCACTCAGCTAAACAGAGATACTAAAAAATTAACTTATCATAAGAAGATTTAGAAAACTTCAAACCAGTATGCCATACAAAAAAAAGGGGGGGGGGGGGAACTAAACTGGCTTGTAAGTTCAGCTTTTATAGGATGAAAACATGGATGTATTTTATCTTTGTATCATTCAGGAAAAGAAAAGCCTTTTTAATCCACTTCTGGAGGGCTTCCTTGCCCCCATGAAGACCTCAGACTGGGTTACCCTGGTGAAAAGAGAGCAAAGATCTAACATCACTAATGGTCTTCCGGGCTGCCTATTTCTAATATTTTTCCTGTACTTTGCATGTCTACATTGCTTTTTGTATCTTCAAATAACTAAAAAAACCTTTCTCAGTACATCTGTACTCAGAGTGTATCATTCTCATTTTTCAAGTGAGAAATTCAAGCTGAGACACCTTGACATATTTTACACTGTTTACACTGTGACTGTTACTTGGCTTGTATTAATATCAGGGCTTCTTGGCTGACTTTTAATCCACTAGAAAACAGTGGCATTTCTTGGGAAGTTGCTCAGCGTTCTGTGCTAAAACTACCCAGAGAGACAATGTCTATTGTATATTAGTGTCTTAAAAAATACAAATTAAAGATGCATCTTTTGCCATTTCAAGTGCTGTTATAAAAAAAATAACATCAGTAGTATTGCACGCTAAATAGCAGTGATTTCTGCAATTATTACTCTGCAAATTATTCCACTAGAAATAATATTCCCAGTTTCCATTTGTTTGCAAGAGCTGAAAGAGAAACTTTGGCTTTGATACAGATAACGCTCATATTTAACTCAAGCATTTCTGTTCCCACCTTCACCCTTCCTAATAAAAGGTAGCAGAATGTCTGTTTAAAGAGGCTTTTGCAAGTGGGTATACACTAGTGACTAAAAATTGGAACTGTAAGTTTTGGGTTGGAGGGGGGGGTTGGTTTGGTTTTGTGGGTTTTTTTTAATGCGCCTAGCATGAAACAGTATCAAGTCTGCCAAAAAATTCCATTTGTAAGATTTATCTATACCAATACTTACGCATTTAAGAGGAAACATCTAGCGTTAGTTGAACCAGTCTGAAGAATGGAGAAGCTGGGTAGGGTTTTCTCCTCTATTTCCCACTCTTTGATATTGGAGACATATCAGCACCTCGTTCATCTTACATTGACATTTCATTTGTGTTTTTTCAATTAATGAACTTATAACAGAAAACTTAATTTTTAAAAAAAATCAGTAATTTTGTGATTGGTAACTTAATAACTAAATTACTTTCTAATATTAAAAGAATTCCCAGACTGTTCCTCTTTTCCTTACAGTGAAGCCCGTTTTGGAAGTAGTTTTCAAATATACTTGAGGGATAAGCTACAAAACTATTTCTTATGGTCAACTATCCAATAAGACAGATTTATTATGTTTTGCTGGTGGCAATGCAAGAATATATTCCCTTTTTAAAAACAGTTTAGGAGTCTTTTGTTTGTAGTTCCAAAAGAACAGTTATTGTCCCTTGAAGTCATTTCCTTATTGGAAGTTGGGCTTGAGACCTAAAGTTAAGTGAACTCAAGTCAATAGCTGAAGTGTAAGAGGCCTTCCTCCCGGAGGTGTCTGCACACCTAAGGAGAAGAACCTTGGCGGAAGCAATGAAAATGTTTTCAAAAGGCAAACACGCCATCACTGCATTACTCTAACATGGTAAGTTCATTCTTTGTACCAATGTAAACTCTTCAATAAGTTTCTTAATGCCTGCTGCTATGAATGCGTATATAACCTTGTTAATTTTAGCAGTACGTTACTTAAGTAGACTGTGAGATACAAAAGAGACTTTTATCCTCTATTTTATTTTACTTTTGTTATAATCTATGTGGCAGAGTAAAAATACAATGTAAGTTTTTACATAAATGATGACTACTTAGGTTTATCTAAACTGCCATGTAACTGCAGCAAAACTATTGTCCCCCAACTGACTTGGCAATTGCAGTAGTCTGAAGGGCAGTTACATTTGGAGAGCATGTGTATGCATATAATATAAATAGGTTAGTATGTGCATGAAAATTAATTTGTATATCAGTGCCTCAAAATTTAATATAAATAGTTCTGATGCTAATCAATC